ATTCACTCCACCCATACCTCACTCCATACAAAACACATATTATTAAACATTATATTTAAAACAAAAATCATTTCTTTTCATTCAATATAATTACAAACAATTGAATGTTTAAACTTGAAATCGGAGTTAATTTAGCCATTTGTAGCACTGGTAGCACATTTTGGTGGGCACTGAGTCGTGCACTGGTGCGCAATCTGAAGAACACTTATAATGTTTTGATAGCAATCAATTATTGCAGGCGACCTATCCCTTAGTCTATGCCCGTTAAGGCACTCCCACTTCAAGACATGGATCAACTCTGCCATTCAAATACACACTACATCGATATGTTTGCCAATTATCGGTTCAATATAATCTCCACATCTCTTACACCGATTATTAATCGCCTCAAGAATACATTTTTTCATACATTTTTTTGAAATTAAAGTTTTAAGATTCAAACATTTTTTGCATTCATTTTCTAAAGACTATTCGCCAACACTGAAGACTGTAAGCTTAGGCACCGATACATAGCAGTGGTGTTGACATTTGACATACTCTCTGACCTCAATTCAATACAATTGTCCCAAACTGGAGGTCACATAAGGGCTGGACTCCCACTGAATGAGACACCGGAGGCCCTCCTCTTCTAACCCCTGCTTTAAAATATGGAGAACTGAGTATTTATTGCCAACAAAAGTCTCTTTCAAATACAGTTTTACTCTTTCCTTATATTCTCACCTCTTATTTGAATACCAGTCGAAAGCAAAATAAGTCACGTTTTGAACATCTATTTGCCAACAAATTTAAAGTCAAAAGATATTTGCTTTTAGTGTACGGAAAAATAAGTTAATTATTTTTTGCTTCAATTAACTAAATATTACTTACATTTGAGAGGAATCAGTGGTTTCTTTATATCGAAGTGAATGTATTTTTAGATATTTGTTGAGCAAAGAGACGATTCATGTAATAAACGCATAGATTTTTGACAAATAATAACACTGTTTGTTATGCTTTGAAAGCTTCACAAAATACATTGGAACTGATGTTTGGTATATCGGATGATATATTGCTGTTCATTGGCATTGATATGGTATTTATGAATAGATATAATCGACCGGACATTTGGCGATCAGTGAGAAGACAATCGGCAGTGAATTGATGTGAATTGAAATGAATAGTTGTTTGACGTGTTTTGAGCACTAGTGAAGAATTCACGCCATTATTGCTGTGATGTTCTCCTCGTCGGTGACCGATGGAGCCATAGAGCCATACACTGTGCCATAGACTCTGCCATAGACTCTGCCATAGACTCTGCCATAGACTATATCCATAGACACAGGCATAGACTGAGCCCACCAGAGCATCGCTACATCACAGCCACCAATCCTATGGCTCACTCTTCACTACTCCTGACTCTCATGTCTTCCTTCGTATGTTCACAGGAAGGGAGAGCTCTCTCTTGAACAACAATTCTTACCATAACATCGAATTTTTTGGTTCAATAATATTCACAAATATTTGTATTTTGTATTCTTTATTAAATAAATGTCTCCCATTTTGGATCAATTTTTGCCAAAACAGTCATTAATAATATGTATTGTAATTTTGTGTTGAATCCAATCAATACCATGTAATTAATGAAATTTTGCTAATTATGTGAAACGTCTATAAATTATAGCCTAAGTTTTGATGCGAACTGAGAATTGATTGCTAGGAGTCGTGTCATTCAATGGCATAATATAATAGATTATTGTTGTCTTCAAAAATGAAATGCATTTGCAGTCAAAACGAGTGGAGAAGAGTGTATCCGACGAACGAATGTCTTTAATTAACATAAATTAATATTCAGTTTTTGCCACAATTGGCACTTTTAAACGCAGGGGAATATTGAGCGCAAACTAATTAATTTTTGTCGCAGAAAAAAGCATATTCACTATTTCTGTAGGCTTTAAATACGAAAAATTCTTTAGTGTTGCAAACCTTTGCCTTTTTCCATGCCATCCATTATTCAATGGCATTCTTTCGCTCCGATAATTAAATATTTCATACAATATTACTATTAAATAAAAGACTCGCTTTATATTGTATCAGGAATTTACTCAAACATATTATTCACAAATACGACACTTTTTGAATAAAAAACGATTTGTGAAAATCACAAAATATTTGCCTTTTCAATGAAAAACCACTCCTTTTTTATTACCTGACAATCGATTCAATCGCGTTGAGTGAATATTATCGTCGAGAATATAAATTGAAAACAAATATTATGTGAATGAATACGTTGTCGAGAAAAAGAGATATAGAAAATTGCAAATAAAAGCTTTAAATTCGTTAACAAAAGCTTAAGGAAAGAAATCAAAATTAAATTATAAAGCATTTTCAAAACACACTTTCTTTTTTGACGCCAAAAATAAATTTTGTGTAAATTGTTGTAAGAATTATGCGAATAAAAAGCGTTTAAAATAATAATAATTTTTTAGAGGTTATTATGTTTTACATTAAGAGCACATAATATTATATTAATTTTAACACTAATACAATGTAAAAAGAAAAACAATTAAATGTAATTTTTCTGTCAAATCCCTAGAATTAACTTTAAAATTTTAGTCGCGATGTGAAAGAGATCTGAAAGGGTTTTTAAAATGTATTTTTTGTACAATATTTACATTAAACACAATTATAAATAATATGACAATTTTTTAGTAGTTATTAGTTTTTCAAAAAAGTTTTTTTTCAAGGTTTTCACAATAGTTTTGTGATTTGATTACAAGAGATAAGCGATAGAAGAGTGAGAGAAAAAATAGCGAACAAAGTCTTTTTAAAAAAAATGTTGGGTTTGTTAAGAGTAGCGACGATTGGGAGAGGGATAGAGAGCGAGGAATACAAGGAATACAATGATTAATAATACTGTGAGGGAAGGGGTGTTTTAGCTGTTGTTTCGAAACACATCTCTCATTGATATTTGGAAAGTAGAGGTGAAGTATAGTCTTAACAGCTGTGGAGGAACTCTTTGACAAAATTGATGGCTTATTACTGGAAATGTTTTACAAACTAAGACATTATTCATTTTTATCTAATAATAATTATACACATCAGTCGATCAAGAATTTAGGGTTTCCTTCACAAAAAATGAATGTCTTTTCTCACACACTTTTAAAGCATACATTATTTGTATTATATTTATATTTTGTTTATATATATATTTGATATATATATTATATAATATATATACTGTATATATTAGCGAACCATCACATAATCAACTAATTGTGTTTGTAATGTACGTATGAATGGTTGGTTCAGAACTCTATCACAGAAATAAAATTAATGTATACAAAGATATAATAACAAAAACATTACGACCATTTCGTATACCTTAAGTGACAATTAAATCTCATAAATCATATCTTCAAATGTATTGTTGTTTTCATATTATGTTTTTTTGGTACTAAGTTTTGCCTTCAGGTCTCAAATCGGGGGAAACAGAAGAGTGCATGAGATGTAAGACAGACTAACATATTATCAAAACTATTCAATTCAATAGCGTTTGAGTAGGGAATGGGTTTTTATGGGTTGTATGGGTTGAGCAATACTACCAATTCTATCCGTAATTAATGATTCAAATAACAAATAACATATGATTTACAGAATAAATTCAATGTTAACTAAATATGATTACTAGTTATAATAATAAATGCAATGTAATTGTTATCTCGACTCTTCATTAAATCATAAGTTTGTTGAATATATGATAAGACTGATTGACACACACCTACTGCCAGGAACTGATGCCTACACTCGAACCACCGGTACCTCATCTTAATGGATATCATTAATGATGAATACAATACTAGTAATGATTCACCAAAAATATTCTATCCATTAATTTGTTTAATATTTTTATATAAATAGTTTATTATATATAAAACAAACTCATGTGTGGTATATATGGGAGAAAAAATCAATTATAAAGTTTGACTGAAATGACAGCGAATATTAGGAATATTAGAGGACTCGTACGTGTAGTGAGTCGTCAAATAATGTTTATATATATTACAGCATATATTAATAATCGAGAAATAATAATAATCATTGGTTTTTTGGTACCTGAGAGCAGAACTTATCATATTTTACATTCAATTCATTTGTAATATCCCTTATATGTGACACTTTTAAATAAAAAATGAAAACTTTCATTGTTATAGTAATAGTGAATTGAATTCAATTGTTGGTTCAATTGAAGCCATTAGATTGGTTTGGTTTGAACCTCGAATGCTAGCACTGACTCTAAAATACAGGTATAATATGGTCGCAGTGTATGTGTTATGATTATGAGTACAATATTACAAATTATTAACAAATGAAGTAATTTTTGTCATATATTTTTTGTTTTACACGTATTATCGCAAATGTCCTCAAATCGGACCCAGTTTTTAGATTTTTAGTCATGTTTTAGTGTCTGTAGTGTTTTTGTACTGTTTTACTGTACAATTGTGTCCATAATAATACAGTTTGATATAATGGTATCAATCAATGAGACAATTGCATACATTGCACGCCCAACACATCGTTCAAAATACTAAATTATAATGAGTTAAACAAATAAAAAATTATTCTCAAAAACGTTATATACTTTTTAAAAATGTATTATATATTTATCTGATTCTATAGTATTCATAGTCTTCTCTTCTGAAACATAATTTAAGAAAATTGTATACTTTTTTGCAAAAATGTATTCATTTTTAAGCACATAAATGACTGGCCCTTCGATTTCAACAAACTTTGGACTAATTTTAATCATTAATAGATATAATATTTAAATAATTTAAATCTAAAAATGTGATAATTATGGTTTAACTCAATCTAAATCCTATTCAATCACTTAATCACTCGATTTCTCTTTCAATTCAAACGTTAAGACATTTTTGTTTTTTCCAAATATATTCTGAAACTAAAATTTTTAGTCATATATTATATGAATGAGAATTAAGAGCAAACTAATGAATATAATCGCAAACATAGCGACAGTATATCGAAATATTATCTCCAATTCACATAAAATTTTTTAAGTCCCGTTTCATATCAATTAAAAAACAGTTATTTCGATATAAAAAAGAAATTCTGACTCTCTTTTGCAGATATTATGCAATTATTATCCCTTTAGGGAAATGTTTTCCTTTTATCCATTAATGTCTTTAATTATTGAGTCGTTTTTATCTAAAATGAATTTATGATTAAATTAATGCTAATTTGTTTATCGATAATAATATTTGGTAAAAGTGTTTTCCTATCAATTGATGTGTTTGTGTATTGTTTTTGTATAATTGAATGTTTAAACGATTCTTAAATATTTATATTAATATTTTCGACGCTCAATGAGTTCACGCTTTGGTTTCATGCAAATGATGCAAATGATGGTCGACTGGACCTAACATTTGAGGTAATTGTGGCGGAACTACACTTTGCATCTTATGTTCTTTCTTCCATTTCATTCTTCTGTTTTGAAACCAAATCTTGATTTGTCTTTCGCTGAGGCATAAGGAGTGCGCGATTTCTATCCGCCGTCTTCTCGTTAGATAACGATTAAAATGAAATTCTTTCTCCAATTCTAGCGTTTGATATCTCGTATACGAAGTCCTCTGTCTTTTCGTCTCTCCCATTGCGTTCACACCGTCTGACATGAAAGCAAATCAAATACAATTCAAACTCAATTAGACATTCATTTAAATACAATTACAGAATATTTAATGGAAAATATGATACATTGACTTCAGGTTTGTGTAAATAAAAACAAAACAACCAAAACATAGAGAAAAATGAAATATATGGGAAAGAAGTGTAGAATAGAGTTATGGTATTAATAGATAGTTTAAAAAAATCTAAATTATAGCCATTCGTTCATTTGTGCGTTCATAATGTATTAGTGCATTCATAATGTAATGTCTTTATACACCAGTTAGTCGTTGTCTCTCATAAACAAACCATTACTAATGTTCTTAGCAATGAGGGGATGATCGAGTGGATCGACTAGTAGTACCATAGAGTGGTACGAGTGGTGTGTGTGAGCTCTGCCACCACTGCCTATCACTCAATACATACGGTAATAACATTGTATGAAATAGACATGAAATACATGAAACACATTCATTGCTTGCGAACCTATTTTGCAAAACAACAGTCGTATGTAAAAAATGAAACACAAAATGAACGCTAAAACATAGCATTAGTGGATCTCATAGTAAAAGTTGTAATTATATTATATTTTGAATTTTGAATTAAGGCCTCAAGGATTTCAGGACAAAGAAAACCATTACTTCAATACCTTATGTAACGAGAGTTAACTAAAATTAAATAAAACTATGATTTGATTATAAAAAACAGTTTCTAATGGAGAATATATTAGAGACAAAGGCATTGAATTCAATGATTGTATCGAATGTTTGGCTAATAATTATTGAGGAAAACATCGAAGAAAAGGCAAATGAAATGCAAAGACATATTTGTATTCATTATTCAATGAGATATGGCTTTTGGCAAATTTAGAGCGAAATGAGAACTAAAACTAAATGCCAAATGTTTCTCTCTCTCTCTCTCTCTCTCTCACTCTCTCGCTCTCTCTGTGCTCAACAGGCCTAAACTCCAACCGAGCTATATGTATGTGTGTGTATCTCTCTCTCTCTCTCTCTCTCTCTCTCTCTCTCTTTGTTAGTGAGAAAATATGCAGCTTTTGGTTGAACAGCACTTTTAGTGTATATCTGTATATTAGAGACAACTCTAAGAGCGTGAAGGCCTGTCTTTTTCTGTCAATATAAATGATATTGGAATGGATTCTCTGGTGCTGACCATCCGGTGCTATAACTGCCAAACTTAACAACAATAACAGTAGTGGAGATCGCCTGGAGGTTCAACAATATAAATGGAAAGTTATAGTCAGTCGCCCACAACTCATATACAACTCATGCATAGTGTTTAATAAATAGCATTGCATTGCATTTAGGCAGTCATTGGCAGTGATAGGGAGCGCATAGATAGTAGAGATGGAGATGCCGTACATGCCGTGTATGACACACACCGTGTATGCCATACATGCCGTACACACCGTAAACATCGTAAACATAACACATTCACGTCTGAGAGAAAAACGATTCTCTAATTCTATGACAATTGAGAACCGTATTGAATGGTAAATGAAATGCTAAGACATTACACACACATACATATAGCTCGGTTGGAGTTTAGGCCTGTTGAGCACAGAGAGAGCGAGAGAGTGAAAGAGAGAGCACCCAACGTATCATTTGGTTACGCTTGATATAATAAAAGTAAGATTGTAAATCAGTACCGGGCCCTTTATGTCCCCCTTTAACTGCCTATTTTATGGCCGGCCATAAAACTAACTGCTTTTGCCAACTCTTGAGGCAGTAATGCAGTAGAATTATGGCAGTTGTTCACCAGTGATACCATTGCAGAGCTCATACGAGTGCTATTTTATGGCTAATGGGAGGGATAGCTATGTTTGACAGTAGTAGAGGCAGAGGTGGTTCCAACCAAATTTACAACCGTCTGAAGATCACTCAAAAAGGCCTCTGCGCTCCAGAACTCGACATTTCTAGTCCTGATACTCATCGGTATATGTTGTCTACCAGTGCTCTAACACAACAGCTATTCATGCAATACATGGACACAACCAGAACCACAACAACACAAGTATCGCAACCGTCGCGACAACACCGGGAGACCAGTGCGGCCGACGGCCACGGGATCGGGTGAGTGGACACCAAGTGATTGAATGGACTTACTTTGGCCGACGTGTACTTTCCTCATCCACGGGTAAATATGTGGCGGATTTGATGAGCCATAGCTGCCATTCTTGCCTTGTCCTCCATTAGCTCCGTTTCCCTGTGTATTGTTTTGTTGAGCTGTGTTCGCACTGTTAGGTAGTGGTCCGCTCTGACCGGATCCGGTTGAGCCGCGTTGTGAGCCCTGCGGTGGAGTGGCCCGGGGTTCGGGTGATTGTCCGGCGCCGCCACTGGATGTGCTGAGATCTTGAGGCGATGAGGCGGAGTCGATGGCGTACTTACAACTGGATGGCGATGTGGGGGTTCGCGAGGGCAGTATGGGCTGAGTGGCCGTGTGGTGACTGAGCCGCGACTGGACTACGGCCTGAGCCGTCGATTGCGAACACGAATTACTCGAATAGGGATGAAGTTCTCTGTGATGTGACGATACGTGTGGATGACTTGAGTGGTGATGACTGCTGTGATGGTCGCCGTTCTGCAGATACGCCGAATAGGCGGGCGAAGTGGGCTGACCCGCGCCCGACACGGCGTTGTTGGCCGCACTCGAGTAGCAGTTGTTGTACACCTGAGGCGTGTAGTAGTCGGGCGGTGTCTGTGCGGTGTCGGCGCCCGCTCTGGGCTGGCCGTAGCACTGAGTCAATGAGTTGACGAACTGATATGAGCTCATCGCTGACACCACTGTGTCTTCAGCTGGCGATCAGACTATTGCGGCCACAATTCGCGTCCAATTGTGTGCCAATGTATGAGTTATACGAGTTGTGTATTGCTTTCGCCTCGTTTACGGCTCTCGTATGCGATAGCGATGTATGCAATGTATGGCAATATATATACAATCTATGATATATTCAATGGTATATTCAATATGCAATGTATGGATTGTATGGCCGATACACTGCTCTCCAGGAAACCTCCGAAACACACTTTAATAGCGCATTATACCAACCAATGCATTGGCAATGCGTCTCTGCCTCCCTATCAACGCCACGTGACTCGCGTCCACCCAATCCTCACTCACAGCCGATCCGCTGTTGCCATAACTTCTGCCTAAACTCTCGACGAACCGACTCTATTGCCAACACAACGCTACCAATGTTTATGTATTGCCAAAGAGAGTCTATGCGAGAGAGAGTGCGAGAGAGCCAGAGAGGGAGCAGAGAGGAGAGGAGAGCGCACGGGAGAGTGGATGTGAAGAACTCGTATTTGTCTCTCAATGCTATCAATACAACAATAATAGAGAATATCTTATAAATTACTGTTATTAATACAATACTAATAGTATTAGTATTGGTATTAGAATAGAAATAGTATTAGTTATTAGAGTTTTGATTCTATGCTTACAATGAAATCAACAAAACTTGCGATCGTTTCCACTCTAACTCTAATGAATAAAATCTTTTACCAAAACATTAAAGTTGTTTCAAAAAAGTCCAAAACTATTATAATTGGCAGTAATGGTAATGATGTCGATGGAGACAATGATGACTAAATATATAATTATTTCATACAATTAGCACAAAATACTATTAACTTTTTTCAAATTCAAAAAATTCTTTTTCTTTAATTTCGTTTTTCTTTTCTTTTTTAGTCTCTCTTTTCAAAGAAAAAGGAAAAACAATTCACTAAAAGAAATAATTCAGAAAAAATAACAGAAAAAAAATAATTTTTACGAATCGTATAATTTTTAGTGAAAATTATAAATAAATTTAAAGTTGAGTTGAGTTGAGAATTGTTGGCAATTATACGAGTGAAACGTTTTTTGAACTGAAAAACTCGAAACTCTGTTATACTGTAAACACACACAGAATTTGAAGCAAAAACTTATAGTTTGTATAAAATTCTTAACGAATAAATTGGAGTCGATATACACTTTTTTGACGGTTTGTATATATATTTGCAGGTTTTTTGACAAACTGTGGAAATGTGAGCCTTCCGTCAGCACACGAGTGAAGATGGGATCTGATGTGTTCTCATACTTTACGGGATCTGATATTGTATAACAAGACGTGGAACAGCACCTCCTTCTTAGGTCCAGTCCAACCTCAACGCGAACGTAAAATTCGTAGCTTTTTTGATGTCCCAAAACTTTTTCCCCGATTCTGCTCTCTCTGGCGCCGAATGATATAACAACCACATTATCATTTACCCCCTCCTCTCCCCATTTATATCTGCCAAAAGGGCGAGAGAGAGAGAGAGAGAGAGAGAGAGAGAGAGAGAGACTCGCACTCAAGAGGCACACCAAGAATTCTTATGCGCTCTCCAACTAAACCGACTAAACCTACCAGTGCTGCCAACACAGCGCATGGATCAGTTGACTGTCAGCCGACTGACTGACACTCTGCCGATACACAGAGACAGCCAGTGTTCACCTGATTTGGTTCCGATCCTAAACAATATATTTCTCAATCAATTCAGTGCAAGAGATGTTGTTTTTGTTTTGTTTGGTTTTAGAAGTGTTTGTTTTGAATGTATGTATACTGTAGTGAGACTCAGACCGAGAATAAGGCTAACAATACGGCAAATGCTTATATTGTAGCCATTATTGCATCGAACCATTCTATTGACAGTTTTAGCTATGTTTGTAACTTTGTCGCAGTCATACCCAAAAACCCGGTGCCTGTGTTTTCGATAATCAGTAAGTGAGTAATAGTGAGTGAAAGAGAGAGAGAGAGAGAGAGAGAATGTGTGGTTCACAAGAAAACTCATATGCTCTCTAAGTAAGCCTTTATTAAAAAGATGGAAAAGTAGTTGTGTACCATGAGTCTAATTAGTTGAGCACAAAAAGACGAAATACTAGTAAAACTAATTACAAAAACTAATGCCATTAATTTGGGAGAGAGAGAGAAGGAGAGAGAGAGAGAGAGAGAGGCTGTGGATGTGCACAGTGTTTTGGTACACTATTTCTAGTACACTGTAGTCGTCTCTAAAAGTAGAGCCAATGCATAATTAATGAGAGAAACAGAGAGTAAGTTTGATATAATGGTTAAATGGAGTTACTTTTAGTGATGTGACACTTCTTTATTCATGGATTGGTACTCACTATAAGGTTATACTGAATTGTATTGTAAGGCTTCCTTTGCACTAATCGTCTGACAATCGTTTTTTGAAAGAAATTTTACTCTTATATATAAACTTATATTTCAAGTATTACTTATGCGTGTCTTTGCCATTCTCTCTCCCTTTCTCTCTCTCCCAAATTAATGGCATTAGTTTTTGTAATTAGTTTTACTAGTATTTCGTCTTTTTGTGCTCAACTAATTAGACTCATGGGTTTCAGTGGGTCTATAG